GATGGAAGAAACAATGTATATGCTGATTAGAGATTGACTGACTGTCTTGGTCCAAACAGAGACAGGCAAACTGGCCTAGTTACACTTTTATTATAGGCATCTAATAGCAGTAGTAATTGACAAGGGGGGAGACAATTTAAAATAAACAGGTGTTTCAAAACTGCTTTAGTTATCCACATTAATTACAGAACTCGCAGGACAGATTAAGTGATTATGGCAATCTTCATTTTTCAGGATTACAGGGTTTGCCGAATTGATTTGTATACAGAACCTGAAGGGTTAGGAATCGTGACTTCCTTTTTTGACGACACTGAAGAAACAGGGGTGTTCGGCACCACTCAGAAGACTTGTTCTATCAAAGTACACTGGGGCATGTAAGTGCGTAGTTCTGTATGAACGTGTACTGCTACGAAAGGAATTTGTTTTAAACCATTGGTTACACCTATCAGACATGCAAGCAGGCTATATTTATTCTAGTCCTATATTTTGGTAGTATTTGTTGACAGTAACATTAGTACATCATTGTAATGCTTCATTCTTGGAGAGGCTGACCTCGTAAAATGTTTTGTTAGAGCCAGTTTTTCTGCTGCTTGCATGTAGTAAAGACAGAGTAACCCTTGTGTATTTGAGGCAAAGGAATGAGTTCGCCTTTCCTGCTCTTTCTCATTCAGGCAAACGTATCATAAGTGAGAGTGTCAGGGGTGAACTGTTGTGATAAGACCACATTTCCTACTTGCTTTCCTCTAAACTCTAAAGTCATTGTACTAAAAGAAGAAAATTTTGAAGCTCTTGTGTTACAAATTAAGACTTAGTGTCACGTGTGGACTCTGGAAAGCATTCTTGTATTTCACAGTGCATTTTAATCAGTGTTTTTATGGTGGTGTTTAGGACATATATATCACCTGAAAATATCTAGCTATCTGAGTTGGGAGAGTAATGTAGGTCATGAACTAAGCAAGCCTTTATGGGAAAGGAGACCTCTTGAGGAACAATCCAGACACTGTACCAATGGTAGTTTTGATAACTTAATAAACAAACTTGTAAATTGGTACTGAAAATATGCTTCACAGTGGTACTGGGAAAAGTATGCAGAAGAGGGAGGACTTCTTAAGGAACAATCCAGACACTGTACCAATGGTAGTTTTGATAACTTAATAAACAAACTTGTAAATTGGTACTGAAAATATGCTTCACAGTGGTACTGGGAAAAGTATGCAGAAGAGGGAGGCTGCTTTCAGAAAAAGTGAGAGAGTGGAACCACTTTCAATGATGTTGGGTTCTGCAGAACATTTTACAGGGTGTACAGACCTTGGTTGTTACCTCTTGGCCGAGTTGTGTTTGGGCACTGATAGCGTTTGTCTGCTGCAAATGGTCTACTTAACTATCAAAAACTGCCCAACTAAAGACAAGTGTTACATGCCACTGCGAAGATGTATTCAAATATGACACTTGATGGATGGGGCATTTTAGTTGTTAGGTAAAGGGTATTTTATCTGATTAAATCTTTACACCTTGATTTGGGGGAAAAATTAAGCTCTCCAGGTATATAGGGAAATTTTCGGACATCCAAGTAGTTGGTTCTCTGACAGGAGGTTATTTCTGTTAAACTGCAAGCTTAATCCAAACTACATGTCTCCCAAGAGTAATGAAATCAGATATGTTATTTGGAGGTTGATTGTTAATTGACTTTGTCTACGTCTCCACTTTATTTCTGTCCCTCACTTAAAAGCATTCTGTGAAAAGTGAAATTACAAAATTTTTGGAAAGGAAGCAGAGCCTGTGCACATCTCTCAGACTTCAGACTGGTCCTTATTTTGCATCAGTGTGACAGCGTTTTTTGCGCTAAGTCTGTGTAAGCTCTTACAGTCTTAATTTCTTTGTGTTGCATTTGGATCCCTTCAGGGAAGGCAGACTAATATTTGCACCAGGAAGCCAAATAGATTATTTTTCAACTGTCCTTCTCAGATGTCAGTTCATTAGTCCAGTGTAGAAAGAAGTTGCTTCTGCCAGTTGCTTGCATGAGAAATTCAGTAAATTGTTGCTGCTTTTTTGCATGATGCAGGGTTTTTTCTTTCCTTTAGTTTACAGGCATGACATAGTTCACTGTATTGGCAGTTGAGGGAGGCTCTGATTCTGAGTCACCTTACCATGTGGGTGTGGTTGTATCTTCTTAAGGTTTCCCAGTGTTCATGCTTAATTGTTGTTTACTAAAAGCTGCCAACAAAAATGAGTCAATGCACCTTTATCTTCTGATTGTACTCACTCCCTGGTCTTCCAGGGTTTAAATTCTTGCAGTGGAGTTGAGGACTTACTGAGCGGTGCAACTACAGGACACACAATATATCAAGCATTCGGCTATAGATAACAATAAAACTAAAGCTCCTTGTTTGTTTCTTGGAACCGTATGTCTGCAGTGAAATTATATCAACTTGTGCCAGTTTACATCAGCTTGGAATCTGCCTTTTAAGCATGACAGAGTGATGGATTATTTTAACATCTTTTTGATACCACCAGATTTATATATTATGATCCTTATATGATTAAAAGGTTGGCTGCATAAAGTGTTCCTGTTTAGTGTGTGTTTTATACTGTGCCATGCTACACTTCTGAGAGATCAGTAAATTTAACTGGAAGAAATACATTTCCATCCTTATGCAGAGATCAGCAGTATGTTTCTTTGTTTCCAGTAAGCGATTACTGGCTAAGATTTTCTCAAAAAAGCTTTGAAAAACTACTGTTGCTGTCCCAGTCAGGAATTTTGAAAGTTACGTCTTTCAGAGCAGATTTATTAGCAGATGCAAACCATGAGGAGGTAGACGTCTAAGGAGTTGTCAGGTTTTTTTACGTATTAGTAAATAACACAAGTTTAGAATTCTCCGTTGAACAGATTTTGCGACAAATCCAAGTCTAGGTTAGTAGAGATCTTTCAACTTCTTGAAAATTGGCTTTGCATATTTTAAAACTGTTCTAAAAATAATACAGAGTAACCTTAAGTCTTGAAACTTCAGTGTAAAACTTGGGTTGCCCTCAGATAAGATAGAGTCAAATTCTTAACTGTCTGTTCATTGTATTGATTTTTTTTTTTTTTAGCCTGTTCGAACAAAACACGTGCATTGTTGGTGGTTCCTGCACAGGTACAGGAGTTTGCCAGTATGCCAGCTTGTAGTTAGCAATTTTGATGGTAAAGAAACAAAGTTTTATTAAGGGTACAATGATGTCTTGTTCTTTGCTGTTCAGAAATGTTCTGGGTTTTTTATCTTTGCTTTCCTCTCCCCACCCCCCACCTTTAGATGGCTAATTTATGAAGAACCTGGTTTCCAGGGAGTCCCTTTAATGTTGGAGCCTGGTGAATATCCTAATTTAGCATTCTGGGAGAAGAAGGAAGCCTACATTAGGTCCATGAGGCCCTTGAAAATGGTAAAATACTGTTGTTACTTGCAAGTTACAGGACCTATGTTTATGTGTTAGAAATAAAGCCTTTCAGTACTTAAAGGGGGCTTATAAGAAAGATGGTGGCAAATATTTTAGCAGGGCCTGTTGCGACAGGACAAGGGGGAATGGTTTTAAACTGAAAGAGGGTAAATTTAGACTAGATATAAGGAAGAAATGTTTTACAATGAGGGTGGTGAAACGCTGGAACAGGTTTTCCAGAGAGGTGGTAGATACCCCATCCCTGGAAACATTCAAGGTCAGGTTGGACGGGGCTCTGAGCAACCTGATCTAGTTGAAGATTTCCCTGCCCATGGCACGAGGGTTGGATTAGATGACCTTTAAAGGTCCCTTCCAACCCCAACCATTCTATGATTCTAGAAATAATGTATTAAGGTGGCTAGATTTTTCAGGACTCACAAAAATGTAACTCTTTAAAAAACAAAATTTTTAGTCTATAAAATTCTTGAACTTTCAACATTTGATTGCGTCCATTTTTGCCTTTAATCTGCCTTCTTAGTTTTACTTGTGTTCTTCACAGAAAGTTTCCTCTTAATTCTGTCTTTTTGTGAAGATTGATGACTCTAAGTATAGACAACTTTTTTTTCTTTTTTTTTTTTTTTAAACAGGGTGGTCGCAAAGTTGAATTCAGTGGAGAGCCAAAGGTAAAAGTCAATATTTATTTGATTGTCCAAAGGTATTTTATAACACGTGAACTACACATGGGTAGATAAATATATCTTGATCGTGAAACTGCGAATTTTGTCACATTTATGCATCCATCACATACATATATGACAGTGTTAACAGCTATCTGGATAATGCAGATGTGTAATGAACATTCAAGCCCTCATGTTGCATCTCTAAGGGAAAGACCTCTTGAAGAAAATAGAGGGATCCCACCAATTAGTTTCATAATCTTGCCTTCTCCCTCTTTGTGCCCATGCAAAAGAAACTAACTGTTGTCTGAATGGATCATGCTCTCTGCAACTTTTCTTTTACTTCATTTCTGCTACAGGTAATCATTTATGAGAAGCCTTTCTTTGAAGGGAGACATGTGGAAATAGAATCAGAGATCTTTATGCTTGATGACAAGGAGTCAGAAGAAAAGACAAGACTTCCACTTACATCAGTGGGATCCATGAAAGTACTGGGAGGAGTGTAAGTGTGGGAAAACACCAGCAATATTTCCCCTTCAGCTGAAGTAGTAACTCCACAGGCTGGAAATTGCAGTGGACGAATTCAGTACCCGTTTATTTCCTCTGTTTTCCTAGTTTTTGGGTTTAGATATACGCCTGAGTTAAATTTGCAAATAGTCACAGCAGAAGAACAAATTTCACACATCTGTATCTGCTCCAGAACAAGACAGAGTGGCAGTTGTCCATTTTCACACGCAGACTCTCTTGTTGTTGTTGTTTAGTTGGGTCGCTTATGAGAAGCCTGGGTTTGAAGGCCATCAGTACTTGCTGGAAGAAGGAGCGTATCGGGATTGGACAGACTGGGGTGGCTATGATGAAGAGTTGCAGTCACTGCGACCAATTGTTGGCGTAAGTTCCAAGAACGTGTAGTAGGCATCTCCTGACTGCACTGAGACATCATGTTGCATTTTCCTTATGATGCTTTTCTTTGTTTTAACAGGACTTCACAAGCTCCCATATGATAATGTACAGTGAAAAAGACTTTGGATCAAAGGGTTCCAATATTAATGTGTTAGGAATTATTTCCAATTTGAAAGACACTGGATATGGGCTGAGGACACAGTCTATAAATGTGCTAAGTGGCGTGTAAGTGATATTTTTAATCGCTGTTCAATTTTAAATGTGCTATTCTTCTTAGAATTTGGTATTATTTGCAGGTGTTTTTCAGCACTCTGACTTCTAATGTCTGTGTGGAGTCTTCAGATAAAATTTTCTGCCTTTGACTGCAGAATGTGAAAAGTAAAGTTTTTGTGAATATGTACAGTAAATTGTTTTCTTCTCACAATAAGATCAGATGGTTCCAGGAAATGTTGACTTACTGATACACAAAGTATGAAAGTGTGACATGACATTTCATCAGAGAGGTAGAAATAGCTTGTTCTCGTGGCTGTATTTTTTTTTTTTTTTAAAGCGTTTCAACAGCAAAATTGTTACGGAACTAATTTCCAGTTTTGAAACTAATTTCCAGGCTTCTTCTGTTTGACCAGAGGCGAATTCCTTGCTTTTTCTCTCAGTTCTGTGTAAAATGGAGATAACTTTTACTGTGCTCACTAATACATTCTGATATTAAGTAACATTTAACAATGTTACTGTTCTGAAAAGTAACATTGCTTTTGCAGTAAATCCTATAGTTTAATAGTGGTTTAGTACTGTGGCGTTGTTTTTTATTGTTTTTTTTTTTTTAACACAGTGGTTACCAAAACTTTGCACTGGCATGGCCATTAACAATTACTCTTTGTGCCATGTGTGTTGTCACATGCAGTTGATAAGTTGATAGACTTTGCTGTTTGATTTGTTCAGTACATCAATTGCAGATTGAGTTTCACAGCCTTGCAGACTCCATCAAAGTATTTTGGAAATGCAAACAAGTATTAGCAATCATGTCTCCAAAGACACAAAATTACTCAAAGTAGTATAACCAGAAGAGTATGAGATGTAGAGTCTCTCTCCCTGCCTGGTATGCAGGTGACTTGCTGAAAGCTCTGCCTTACCCAGCCACACCCTAAATCTTTCTGTGTGTTATCTGTGTGATATCTCTGCAAGTTTTGTCTGGATAAAGATTGCAGAATCAAACTCATTGCATTCCATTTTTATATGAATATGGTGCGACAGCATTTTTTTTTCTGCCTGGTGACCTTTGAAGCCACTGTGCTCTTTTGTCTTCTCTAATATGCAAGGAAGATTCATGGGAAAG